ATTCCGCATATCCTTATTAGTTTATTATTTTCATTGTAATCACCATTATGTCAATTAAGCTGTGATTAATTTTCTAAATGGCCATTGGAAAATGTCCTTAGAGTTAGAGTAATCGCCATTACAATTCAACCTGAACAAATACATAACAGTGTTCGATTGTAACATTTAGTTTAACAGATTGACTTCTCTTTCAGGATTAAAGGCAAGGCAAGGCAAGGCAAGTTTATTTATATAGCACCTTTCAACACAAGGCAATTCAAAGTGCTTTACAAAAATGAAAGACATTAAGAAAATGGCATTTAAAAAAAACAGTCATTAAAAAGCAAAGATAATAAAATAAACATTACAAAAAAAAATACATGGATCAAAGTTACAGTGCAGTTTAAGATGTGAATAGTTCAATTAAAAGCAGCGACAAAAAGATAAGTCTTCAGCCTGGATTTAAAAGTAGTAAGAGTTGCAGCGGACCTGCAGGTTTCTGGGAGTTTGTTCCAGATATTTGGAGCATAATAACTGAATGCTGCTTCTCCATGTTTAGTTCTGACTCTGGGGACAGAAAGCAGACCGGTCCCTGAAGACCTGAGAGTTCTGGATGGTTCATAATTTAGCAGTAGGTCAGACATGTATTTTGGGCCTAAACCATTCAAAGCTTTATAGACCAGCAACAATATTTTGAAATCAATTATCTGACACACAGGAAGCCAGTGTAAAGACTTCAGAACAGGAGTGATGTGATCCACTTTCTTAGTGTTAGTGAGGACTCGAGTAGCAGCGTTCTGAATTAGCTGCAGCTTTCTAATAGATTTGTTAGTGAGACCTGTAAAGACACCATTACAGTAGTCGAGTCTACTGAAGATAAAAGCATGGACAAGTCTTTCCAAATCCTGCTGTGACATTAGTCTTTTAATCCTAGATATGTTCTTTAGGTGATAGTAGGCTGATTTAGTAATTGTTTTAATGTGACTGTTGAAACTCAGGTCAGAGTCCATGACTACACTTAGATTTCTGGCTTTATCTGTTGTTTTGAACATTGCAGACTGAAGCTCAGCGCTAACTTTTATACGTTCTGCCTTGGCTCCAAAAACAATTACCTCAGTTTTATCTTTGTTTAATTGGAGAAAGTTCTGACACATCCAGTCATAAAGATCAAAACATGAACAAAAATGCAGTATATAAACACAAAAAAGATTTTTGTTTTGGAAAAGTAGCCCACAATCAAGGCAGCATGCATCTGTCTTGTAAAGTATGATAGATTTCTTTTTTTAAAACAGTGACTTTAGCGACATCCCTCATTCAGTATCTCTGCACAGCTGTAGGATATATCTGTGCAAACTATGGATCAATGTATTAACCCATTCACATCCTCAAACACTAGTTCAATAAATGTACAACTGACCCAGGATCTGCATTGATGGAAAATGTTTCTCCACACTGGGCCACATTGATCACACCACCACTCTGAACCAGCCAGTGGTTAGAGGGCTCCACTGCTTGGTAATTATGTTCCAGTCCTTCGAGTGTGTGTGTGTGTGTGTGTGTGTGTGTGTGTGTGTGTGTGTGTGTGTGTGTGTGTGTGTGTGTGTGTGTGTGTCTATTGCCTCCTCTATGTTTAAGAGTGTTTTAATGTCTCTGTGTGGGTATAACTGGCATGAGATGTGAATCAGTGCCACGTCTGAATTGGGAAAAGTAACTGTCATGCACTCTGTACTTTTATATTCAAGTTCTGATGTAATCAATCTATTAATCTACAATTTTTACAGGTCAGAAACTGGAAAAATAAATGTTACTTTTACAGTATGTGACTTAAGTTCCTAAAAGCTATGCTAACATCTTGACCTAATAGCTAAGAATATTTTATGCATTGCAGAGTCTAATTGTTTGCAAAGCAGAGTCTGAAAAGCTGAATCTGACCCCCAGTGGCTTAAAGAGATCTATCTAACCAAAAACTAGCCACTGTAATGGAAAAATGATAGAAAAGGTCTGTATAAGTAACAGAATGGAATGTTTTCTGGCCTGAGCGTCAGGCAAAACCTTTCAAAAGCACTTAACATGGCTAGACTTAAACTGGTGTTTCAGAGTTACCAGACCAGTATGGTAAAACGCAAAAACAAAACATTTGCTAATTGGTTATATTTAAGATGAATTGCTGACAAAGTAGTTTTATTACGATGTGACATCTTGCAACACGCTTTTACGATCCCTGAATGCAGACATTTTGTTAAGCCACATATTTCTACAGTATTTTACAGTCAACTCACTCATATAAACACACATACACACACAGGCGTCTGCACAGTGTGATGCCATAGTCAGAAATAGGATTGGGATGGCTGCTGTCCCTTTGGCTATTAATACACAGCTTTTCTGAGGTCATTGGCAACTCTCACACTCACACAGAAACACACACACACACACACACACACACACAAACACACACACACACACACACACACACACACACACACACACACACACACACACACACACACACACACACACACACACACACACACACACCACCCTGCCCAACACTCACCCTCCCTTCTCACTTTTACTCTAACTCAAGCTGTGTGTGTGTGTGTGTGTGTGTGTGTGTGTGTGTGTGTGTGTGTGTGTGTGTGTGTGTGTTGTGTGTGTGTGTGTGTGTGTGTGTTTGTGTGTGCGTGTGTCCATACCACAGTTTAGCAGTCAGACTTTTTGTGGGCGAGAGTAAAATATATAATGTGCAAGCTGCTTCCTGTGTTTTGCCAGTCTGGCCTGTAGGTGGACAATTGCACCTTGTAGGACCATGTGGTCTGAACAAGTGAAAAGACTGCATATTGCATAAGTGGATTTGAGCTTGAGAAAGGGCAGCAGTCTGGCCTCCTCAGTGGCTGCAGGTCACACTGATATTCTAAGAGGAAAGCCCTTTGGCTTTAATTTCCCTTCACCACGAAAGTAACAACTTGAAGCATGATACAAGAGTAGAGAAAAACCAAACAAAATTGTTATAAGTTAAAGCTCCCATGTCATGGCCATTTCTACTGATCATAATTCCATTGTTGAGGTCTACTAATATATTTACATTGTTCAATGTTCCAAAATCACATTGGTTTTCTCATACAGCATCTCTGTATAGTATGTGTATTCACTCTCTGTCCTACATGCCTTGTTGGAGCTCCTGCCCCCCCCCCCCCCCCCCCCCTCCCTATGAGCCCACTGTGCTCTGATGTGTGTTTATGTGTTACAATGGCGTTTGTTAGCAACCAGAAAATGACACCAGTAATGACAAACAGATGAGAATGCTGCGTGGGGTCTGGGTGCCGTGTTGACGGGACGTTGCGGGGCTCGCTGCTCCGCCCTTTGAGGCTTGAGGAGCGGACCGTGTGAGCTGGATTACTGGTGTTGTTTCCTGGTTGCTGCGTGGGGTCTGCAAGACAGTGAGACACAGAGGAACTCAGCCTGAGCACACACACGTGAGTGTGTGGCGAACTGTGAGTGGAGATCCACGGAGCAGAGGCTGAGAAAAGATAAGGTGTGTGCCGGCGAAACTCCGCGGAGTAGCGCGGCTGAGATAAGATAAGGCTGAGTGAGTGTGTGTGTGTGAGGAGCTCCACGGATTTGTCCATTTGGACCTTGGCATGGTTACGTCACCATACTCAGGAAGAAAAAAATGGAAAAAGAAAAATCTCCAACGAGGCGTTCTGGGGCAGCATAGATAGGTATTTTCTGTGTTAGAGTTGTACTCGCGGGTGTACTTTGAGGGTTTGTGACTTTGCAGACCGTTTACATGCATAAAAAGCTACATAATACACAAGGGGACGGGTAATAACCGGAAAAGCAAGACATGGGACCTTTAACAACATAGCTTTTTTTCTTTTAGATTTTATCCACATGGGTTAAAGAACGATTTAATTTCCTAGAAAATCTTTGGTTTATTTTAAACAATGTAAAACTACTTAAAGCTGCTGTATACGATTACAGAAACTTAAGCAAATGCCAAAAACAGACAGGATAAAGGAATGGGTAGCACTTAAAAACAAAGGGGAGAACTGAACTTTATTTCCCCTCTTCCCCCCCAGGAAGAAGTACTTGCATCCTTTTCCTTTAAACTTTGTACACAGCAACTTGTAAAAGTCCTGATTTAAAACATGTTTTACCAACATAAAAGTAGTATTATTGGAAGAAGAATGTACAGTACTACAAGTGTTAAAAGTTTGAGTAATCATAATGAGCAATATCCTATTTCAAAGTGTGATAGATATTATGTCTATTATTCTTAGATTATTATTATAAATGCATTTATGTGTGAACATTTTAATGTAGTGGGTGGTCAAGGTGTCCCTATGTTTAAGAAACATAAATGAACTAATGCATTTTGCAATCACCTATAAACTCTAACACTGAAGTGACAAATGCATGAACGCCACATGAATCATAATTCATAAGTCATGTATACATTTAACAATATATATATATATATTAATTAAAATATATATTATTATTACATATTATATATATATTATTATTACATATTATAATATATACATATTACATATTATAATATATAAAAATAATATACTTTTTTTTTACCTGAACTTGAGTAGCCTACGGTTTTGAATTCAGTTCATTTAGTTGTAACCACCAAGTATTTCTAAACTGCAGATGTGCTACTTTTAGCTTACTTCAGTATAACATCTGAATACTTTATCCATCACTTTATAAATGTATCCCATAATTGTACAGATGAGTAAATGTAGTTTTCTATCCCTCCCTTCCACCTCTCTTCATCCCAGTGTCCCCTTATCCCTCCATCCCTCCTTTTTCAGAGAGCACGTCAAGCTAGCTAGAGATACAATTAACAGGCAATACACTGTGCGTGGATATTCCACTAAAATAAAATGTCTCAATATAAATTCGTCATCCACCTGTTTTATTTTGAAAACCCTAACCGGAAGTAATGTATATTGACAATATATAGATTTTGACGCGGGACGTCCCTGCTGTTGCTCCCCGGTCTCACTGTGGATTTACATACCCTGATTTCCGTGGGACTGGGAAGCGAAAGAGGAGGGTGCTGGGTCTTTCAGGAACTGAGGAAACAAGCACAAGCAGGGTTATTTAACAAATTCACAACTTTATAGACACGTTGGCGACCCTTAAAATCGTCGGAATAAGGTTCACGCTACTTTTCTGTGCTTGTTTTGGATCTCCACGGTGCTCTCGCTGGATTATTTCCCTAAAGTCTGGAGGAGGGCTACGAGTTTTTCGGAGAAGCCTGGAAGCAGTTTGAGGTTTGAAGGGCTGTGGCCATGGCCGGGGGTGGTGGAGGTGGAGGAGGCGGAGGGGTTTCTCCATTGGGGCCAGCACCGCCGATGTGGTATCACCGGGACCTGAGTCGCGCGGCGGCCGAGGAGCTGCTGGCCCGGGCCGGGAGGGACGGCAGCTTCCTGGTGCGGGACAGTGAGAGTGTCAACGGGGCTTACGCTTTGTGTGTACTGTAAGTAACTTTATTGAAGAAAAGAGAAGCTTGTATGAACTCTGAACTCGTGTGTGCGGCCTGTGTTTGGCTTTATTTACTAGGAAAAGTTAGGAGCCGTGCCTATGTTTGCTTTATTGTATTGTAAGCAGTGGTGTAAAGTAGATTTACCCAAGTAGGCCTACTGTACTTTACTTCAATTTTCTGCTACTTTGTACTTCTCCCCAACTACCATTCAGAGGTAAATAGTGTACTTTTACTCCACTAAATGTATTTAATATCTGTAGTTACTATGCAATGATGTGAAATTGAACAACACGTTTAGTTACACCTGGAGTAACTTTCACAATTACACCAGCATAATGAATACTTTTTATTTTGGTAATTTAAGTATATTTTGATGCTAATATTTTTGTACTTTTACTTCAGTAACATTTTGAATGCATGACTTTTACCTGTAACATAGTTTTCCAACTCTGTAGTATCTACTTTTAAGTACTGAGTAATTCAAGATCTGAGTACTTCTTACCATCTCTAATTCATTTAACCGAGCACATGCCTTTAGGGAATCCCCATCTGGTCTGTCTTTATACCAACATAAATAAACTGTACCTGTACACACACTTTCCTGAACTGTTTGATCAAACTGAAAAGCTCTTTGAAGCTTTGGTAAACCAGTGATCAACAGCCAAACTCATTTGTTTACTTTCTCCTGGAAGTCAGTGAGTGGCAGAGAGACTGTCTGTCTGCAAGGCAGTGAGACTCCAGCATGGCACACAGCTCCAGGCTGTCCCTCTCTGTCTGATGTGGCCGCCTGGAGCGCCGTTTTTACAGGGCTCTGAAACTCAATGTGGTGGAGGAAATATAAAGAGCAACTAAAGGGCTGTTGGAGCCTTGCAGATGTTTTAATTTAAGGCTCATATAAGATCAGTGCAGTGGTGAAGCAGCTATTTATACGTACTATCTTCTGACCAGTGGTGTAAAGTAACTACTGTACTTAAGTACAATTTTGAGGGACTTGTACTTGAGTATTTACAGTTTTTACTACTTTGTTCCTCTATCCTACTTCAACTCAGAGGTAAATCGTTACACTACATTTATTTAGTGCCTTTTGTTACTTTGCGGATATTGTTTAATGATGTGAAAATAATCAACACTTCAAATGACTTTAGCAACACTTGGAGTAAAATACCCTGCAGCATACAAATTACACTTTAATACATCAATAATTATAATTAAAACATGTACTTTCTATAATACTGAAAGGGGCCAATCTGCATAGAAAGTACTGTTGTGCTTTAAGTATATTTTGATGTTAATACTTTTGTACTTTTACTTGAGTAACGATTTGATTGCAGGGCTTTCATAGTATTTCTACACCCTGGTACTTCTACTTTCACTTAAAGGTAGGGTAGGTAAGAATGGAAAAACCAGCTCGAGTAAGCTAGAATTTGAAAGTACACAACCGAAAAAAATCTGCCCCTTCCTTCAGACTTCCTTACAGAGCCCCTCCTCCAACACACACGAACGCACACATGACCAATGAGGGCACGAGATAAGTTTGTACACGAGATGGAAGGCTGACAGGCAGGTAGGCCATCCAATTATCTGCCACGGGCCGAGGCAGTTAATTGGACTTGCTTTTTACGGCGCCACTGCTTCCACAGATGAAATATTTGTATATATTTATTGTCAAAGCATTTAATTTATTCATTGCTATCAGGATGTTAAGAGCATTCCATGGAATATAACAAGTGTTTCTGAAGTGAATTACCTATACCCTACCTTTAAGTACAAGATCTGAGTACTTCTTCCACCTCTGCTTCTGACACATTATATACAAAAATGTAATATTAATCCATATGTCAGAGCTTTAAAGGGCCTGCTCGAGTCTTTCCTAAACTAAATGATGAAAGGCCTACCCATATTTATTACACAAGGGAGATTTTGTCACCAACTACCTCAATGCTCAGCCAGCATCTAAACGACCTCACCACCTGCTGACTAGAGGAAAACGTAACTGTATTCCTGCTCTGTGCACCTGATGAACAGACAGACAAGCTTCCAAACTTACACAATACCATCAGCATTTTGATCACTTGACAATGACTCAGGCAAGGCAAATGAACTGTGGAAAAGGGATGTTAAACTTTGAAAAAATGACTCGCATTACCCCCCAGCCAGCCCACACAAAGTTAAACTATTCAAACTGACTGCAGATAGATGCAGGAAATAAAAGGCCTACTCTGGTACTCCGACATTGACTTGACCTACATCCCCTATCTGATAGTTTACCCCATGCTGAGTTTATTGTGTGTGTGTATACACGCACACCAGGAGCAGAACATACTGTATATACTGTACAGTATGTTCTGCTCCTGGAAAAATATGTTCTGCTCCTGGAAAAACAAAACAAAAAAACAATTACAAGTATAGGTAAGTATTGTTTTGTTTTTTTCATAATTCATACACACAAAGATGAACAAAATTAGTAGAAGCGGGAGGGCTGAAGCATAGCTATGGGAAGTAGCCCTCCTGTGAATCATCCTAATACAACATTGGCATTATTGCGTCAAAAACGTATAGACATTAAGGAGTACAAAGAAATAAAGAAAACTGGAGAAGAAAAAAAAAGTTAGGGCAAGAAAAAAATAAATGCATATATATATATATATATATATATAAGAAAACTAGATATAGGGTCATTTTCTGCACATGTCAATAGCAGTTTCAACTATCTTTTTTGAAAAGGATAATACTATATATACATATGTACACATGTACTTGGCAAATTAATAATAATAATAATAATAATAATAATAATATATGCATATAAACATTGTGAACACTTATTTTCAAGTTACTTTTTTTACATTCATATGTTCACAAATACACAAAATATACATAAGCACCATATGTTCAAGTGTATAAGTACACAAATGCACTCATATACAATTGATGACACTAAAACAGAAATAATTTGTTTTCATGATTCATTCAATCATTTATCTATTTCCTCACCATATTGTATTATTCTAGGAGGACGGGCTACTCTGATGTAAACACATTACACCCCATGTCATAAATAAAACCAGAAAAACAATAAGCTTGCATCACCTTTTGGCTCCTGGCTTATTAAAATAAATACTGGTGGCAAATATCCATGTTCCCATTCTTTGCTGGATGCACTAGTAATTCAGTGGGTCACTCTTTGGCCAACAACATTCCTCACGACCATGCATCATCCATTTCCGGATTTTTTTTTTCCCGCCTCTCCCTTCCTCTCCCCTTTCACCTTTCGTATCACGGACATTGTTTCATCTCAGAAAGTTTATTTTATGATACCTTAAGTTTGTCATAGAAAGGCTTTAGTCAAACTTTGCTTTATGAACAGTGTTGATGCTTTTATCGAGAAGTTTTGCCTACACATACGAAAAAACTGTATTTTGACAAAGTAACACGTTATATGGTCTAGTGTTGTGAAACAAACAACTCCATCAATTATATCTTTGAGAACAGCGATGCCCCAGTATTTTTGCACAACCCCTGAACCCGTGGAGGAAATGATGTCATGGTCTGTGTGCTTATGAATCACCAGGCGTGTGAAAAGCTTCCAGACTACTGAATGGCACACAAACGATGTTAGTCATAGCCACTAGTGCGGTGTACTGGAGGCTCAGGCCTGATGTCTACACAAGGCGGGTTCTCTTGATGTTGAATATCTTGCCCTTTCTCTTCTGCTTCACATTCTCACATTTAAGCCAAATAAGTTGCTAGTTTTAAGTAGGGCTGCACGATAACTAATTGCCATTATCATTGAAAAATATCATAAAGTGATTATGGTGGGATTTGTTTTTTAAGAGGATCTGTACCAAACGAGGATTGTTGTATTAAGTGTGTAGAATACTGGGTCTTCTCTGCAGCGCCACAATACTTATTCAGAATGGTATTTTGACATATTACCAATTATTGTGCTTACTGCAATTTGGATAGTACTCCAGTACATAGTACGATTCCGATAACATTTTGATTAATTTGCAACCTTAGTTCCAAGCATGCCCTCTCGAAGTGTAAACAAATACGTTGTTTTTTTAAAGCGCTGAAATAATCATTTGTATTTAGTCTTACCATCATACAAGTAGTATTATTGGAAGAAGAATGTACAGTACTACAAGTTTTAAAAGTTGTAGTAATCATAATGAGCAATATCCTATTTCAAAGTGTGATAATATTATGTCTATTATTCTTAGATTATTATTATAAATGCATTTATATGTGAACATTTTAATGTAGTGGGTGGTCAAGGTGTCACTATTTTTAAGAAACATAAGAGAATCTGATTTTAGACATATTTCGTCAAGTCCTTTCAACTGCTTACCAGGTGACTTATACATGTAAATGCCAAATGTTATTCTTTTGACCTGAACATGACTACTAGACATGGCTTCACCTGGGTAAGACATGGGTTGACCTGGGTAAGACATGGGTTGACCTGGGTAAGACATGGGTTGACCTGGGTAAGACATGGGTTGACCTAACCCTTGAGCCTTACATACTGCACACTGACATGTGTACTAATTCCTAGGGATTTAGAGAGAGAGCGGTGTGTTCAGGAAGTGTTTGCACTCTGCTGTTGTCTGAGAATAGAATGGTGGGAACAGTGTTTGTGTTGGTGACTTTTGGCCAGTTTACCTTTCACTTCCTCTTAGTTTACATACAACTCTGCAGAATTTGGGTTTTGTTTGTCTGTATGCAGACTTTACTGGGAAGTGACCATTTTGACCTGTACTGATACAGTACCACTGATTGTGTTAAGTATTTGTCTGCAAGGGGTGTTTCAGATCAAGTATCTTCAATATTGTGTAGTATGTTCGAGTTTTATCATTTACTTCCCCAGTTTGTTCTTAAATATAAAATATTTGATAACATTTCTAAGTAAGTCATTTCTCCAATGTTTCCAGCTGCAGTGCCACACTTTTGATTCCAACAAGAGAGATTCCGACCATATTGTTAGGCCATATTTTTAATTTAAGCATTGTGTATGCATCAGTGTGAAAACTGCAGAGATATTGAACTGTTTCGTATTTTTCCTGTCAGGAAGGCGATCTTTATTATCAGCACAGCGCGTCTAAACATGTCACGGTTCAGGCATGGCCTTCTGTGTTTCTGTGTGTGTTTGAAACCTAGATGTTTCGTAGAAGACATTCCTCATTTCAGTGGGTGTTATAATATTGCCTTGTGGAGTTAGTGGGTGGTTTAATGTATACTTTTTCTTTAAATATCTCGATTCCAGGTAGGTGTGTATATATATTTATAGTGTTTTTTACAGCTACAGACGGTCCTTTTTTTACGGTCCTTTTTTGTGTGAAGGTGCAGAAACCTGTGATACAGATTTATTTTTGTTGTGATGGATTTAATATAAATAAGTGTAATCATTTGTGAATAGTGGCTTTTAGCTCAGTACTGAAGTGTTTGAAAATAGTAACATTTCCCCCATTTTTTTTGCTTTGAAAATATTTTCTCTGTATGAATAGATGAGCTGTTACATTTTGAATTATAAATACTAGTATAAGAATGATTTAGCATATTCTTATTAATTAGTTTGACCTGGTCATTGGAGTGTTTTTGAAACACATACGGTCTACAGAGCAGGGACTAAACTGCTGCAATTGAGGTTGGATGACACAGAGGAAGAGGAGGTGGCTCTCTCAGACAAAAGGACAGGGGAGTCAGGGCAGTCATTATCTTTAAGAAAGGCTATTGTTGATCACACACACACACACACACACACACACACACACACACACACACACACACACACACACACACACACACACACACACAAACACAAACACATTGTATGCTTTGGGTCTATGTCCATCCCATAATAAACCTCCCTCTCTTTCTCATATTGTCCCTCCCCCTGCTAGAACTTTGCTGCCACTGAAACAATAGTATTTACTCCACAGAGAATCTCATCAGCTGCCAGCAGGAAGACAAACACCCCTTCCCCCCAACACACACACACACGCATACATACATACATACGTACAAACACACCACTGTACACTGCAGTGATTCCTGTGTATGTATTCTGTGCCACTGGACCTAAAGTGCATTGTGTTTATAATTTGACAGGATTAAATATGGATATGGTTTCCAGAGGCCGCACAGACAACAGAAACAGGACATCTCACTGACCGCGTTAAATGCTGGGCCTTTAACCAGGAGCAAATATTTACCAAGTTTTCACTGTGTATTTGATTAACTGCTGGGGAAAGAACATATGGAACTATTTTTGGGCTACAATCTGATAGATAGGGTTATATAAACAGGATATATCCTGTTTATAAATCATTTCAACATGGACACTCTTTCCATGTAGTTTAGCTAGCTAAGTCTCATTTGAATGAACTCTGATGGCGTTGGTATACATCTGTGCCTTTGTTTTATTGTCTTCCCCCCTCTTCACTGTGTGCTGTAGATAAATGCAAGAATACCAAAAAAAACAACTTTTTGGGGTATTTACTACAGCGGGGATGGCCGGTAAGCAGCCTGTAAAAACAATATTGGCCACAGTAGGGAAGTTGTCCAAAGGTTAAAACACAGTGAGAGCAAATTTAAAACGCATTATATTTTATTTCCAGATGGACAGGAAACAGTTTTATGTTGTCAGCCAGACGCTGGCACAACGTTTGGCATTTTGAAACTCCCTGTTGAATTTCCAAAAATGTTGAGGCAGCACTTTCTTGAGATTGCATACAGGTGTTCTCCGCATCCTTCAGGTGTTCTCTAATTGTACCAGGGCTCATTGCATGGATGGATTATGGTCTCAGAAACATGTTGCAGTGCAAGATTTGTTCAAAAATAGTCATCCAAATTGCCTTTTGGCAATATGTATCATATGAGACAGACCCATGTCAGTCTCAGCACGTTGGTATTTTTAAATACTTATGGCGTTGCAGCATAAAGACATTTTAAACCTGTGCCAGCCCTATTGCTTTTACAATAATAATCCATCTTGGTAGTGAGCCATTCTTTGATTTTGAACAAGTTACTATTTGCTTAAATCTAACAAACTTACTCAGCTTCTAATAAAGTTACTTTATTCGTATATTTTAATCCAGTCCATGTTTTGGTTGATTGTTTATCTGTGGGACACTGACCTGGAAAGACCGGAAAAACAGCTGAGGGGCAGAGCAGGATGAATTCCCAACATGGATTTATCCCTCCCTCAGTCTATAACACACACACACACACACACACACACACACACACACACACACACACACACACACACACACACACACACACACACACACACACACACACACACACACACACACACACACACACACACACACACACACACACACACACACACACACACACACACACACACACACACTGTCAATAAGCAGAGCACAAGCAGCAGTAAAATAGTTCCTCAAGTGTTTTGCATTGGCTGCAGGGCTAACACCCACACATCCAAACAGACGCACCACCATAACACAACATTTGTTTGGCAAATTGAACATTTTGCATACGGTCCACCGAGCAGACGTGACATGCAGACATAAAAATCATTAAACTCCAGCACGAGGCTGCAGGCGTGTAGTCACGGCTGTGCAAACACAATGTCAGAGCATTGATCTGCGATTGGTTAAAAAGGTTGTGGTTCAATCAGTAATGCAATTCGGACTCTGAAGGTTTAAACATAGTTGTTGACTGAAAGAAAACAGGATCGCTCTGTGTCCTGTCTCACAAAGGAGGGTGTTTTTGGTCTTTCCTTTGTACATTCACTTTTACATTGTATAAACATTGGGCTGACCTCTGTTCTGCTTTACTGTATCATGCTACCGTAAGGATAAAGCCCTCTCACAACTGTGACGGACAGCAACAGGTTGAAGCTCTGTAAACCCCCCTCACACTCATACATGATACACACACCCCTATGCACTGAGAACAAGAGAGTATGTCCACATGTCAGACTTGACATTTTTTTTTGTTGAATCAAACAGTCATCCAAAAGTTCTTCTTCTCTCACTCTCTCTCCGTCTGTTTTTATCTCCAACTTTTTGACAAACTTCTTTGGTGTTTCCTTCTCTGTAGGTTTCAGAAGCACGTCCACACATACAGAGTCCTCCCAGACGATGAAGGATTTCTGGCTGTTCAGGTACAGAGAAAACACACACACTCCACTGAGGTCAAGTGTGTGTGCAAGTGTGCAGCATAAACTGTATCTGCTGCAGTAGCAGCTGGCAGGCATAGATGCTTTTGTTGGCTTCAGGCTCTCTCACTCTCACATACACACACACACACACACACGACAACAGCAGCCTCTTTGTGCGTAGTGCCCAACAGCTGTGAAGTCCCCACCACCAGCCACACACACACACACACACACACACACACACACACACACACACACACACACACACACACACACTCTGCTGTATCATTTATGGGAGCTGCGACACTGAAGAGAGTCTAAAAGTCAAATATTGCTTCCTGGAATTGAATTTGTTTGGGAACGATGTTTACCAAAGCGGTTCTTCCTGGTTCAAATTATATTTAGAGCCGTTGTTCATATTTGCTTACAGAACATAAAACATGGAACAATAGTATAGGGGCCACAGGAGATTTCAATAACACGACTTGTAGCCAAGGAGTTTGGATGTTATTGTCATCCTCAAAAGCTTCCCTTCTCTTCCTCTGTCTGTTGATGCTCCTCTCAGACGTCTCAGGGTGTGCAGCCTAAGCGGTTTAAGACGTTACCAGATTTGGTGTCGTTGTACCTGCAGCCCAGCCAGGGTCTGGTCACCACGCTGCTATACACTGTGGACAGAGAGGAAACAGCTGTCAGCGACGACAGGGACTACTCAGGTATCTGCAGAGCCCACACAAGCACACTTGCAAATGACGTGATTGTCTCCTTTTTTTCACATGTTAACTCTCCTCTTCTGTGATTGGTAGATGGGGAGGATGAGAAGCCACCCCTCCCCCCTCGCTCTGCCTCCACCTCCACTCCCCCTGGTCCAGACACACCCACAGAGAGGTACAAAGTCTTTATATGAAGACGACTGTGTTGATTGTGTTCGGCTGTCCGTAATGATATGTAAGCACTGAGAATCAAATCATAAACTATTCTGAGGGCTTCTCAAACCAACATGTTTAATACATCTAGTTAAGAAACACACAAGTATTCAACTCTAACACACACACACACAAAGGAAGGATGCTGCTTCCCTGTAACTGAGGCCATGTCAACTTTGCTCACAGTGATAGTAAACAGAGGTGTCAATTAGGGCTGCTCAATTAATCGTATTTTAATCGCAATTACGATTTTGGCTTGCAACGATTATGAAAACAACATAATCGAAATAAAACGATTATTATTTTTATTTAATTTCTTATTGATTTATTTAAAAAAATATATTGTTTTTTCAGTTGTAATCAACTGTTCAAAACATACTGTTAAAAATAAATAAATTTATGTTTTCAAAGTAAATGGATAATCGTTTTTAATAATCGTGATATCAATTATTGACCCAAATAATCGAGATTATGATTTTTGCCATAATCGAGCAGCCCTAGTGTCAATGATTATATGAACAATAAACACATGTACACACAGATACACACTGTTTCTCATTCACGTTCACTGTTTCTGCCCCAGGGCACGCACACATCATTCATTAAACACTGTAAAATATTAGTATCAAACATAAAATCACTGTCACACACACACACAGGTTGCAAAATGTACTTTGTTGGGAATTTTCACAAGTTACCAGTCACTCAATACGTTATCATTGTGTGTTTGGCTAGTGAATGATGCAATTCTACTAGCCACTTGCATATGTGACCAGTATTTGCCTGGTAAATGGTGCTGGGTTTGTGCTCTGCATGCATTAATAACCTCCGCTCTGCCTGTGTGCCTAAAGAAGGAAAGCCACATCCTGTTGGAAGCCATGTTGGTCCCAGATGATGCAAAGCTTTGATTAAGTGTTTGTGTGTGTACATGTGTGTGTTTCTCAGATCTGTGTATATTGATGAACAAATATTAGGACAATCACTGTGACTAGAGCGGAGTGAGTTCGCTGCATGTATCATTATGATGTTTCTGTTGCAACTTAAAGTTAAATACTACTATATATGACTACAGGTAATATTTTTCCGAAGAGATGAAAGAAGTACCAAAAAGTGTGTTGCTGAAGGAATTTTAAAATCAGCCCTGGAAATCAGTCGTGATGTATGATTCATTCAAATCTTCAATCAAGAGCACAAAACATCATAGATGAGTGAAGCTAAAAAACATGATTTCATTTACACTTTTACACTATTTTGCTGATTTGCAGACAAGTTAAAAATAAGGCTTGGTGCAGGAAGATTTGCCAAGCTTATTTGAAAGCCACAATGTGATCTTAATCATAAAAGAGTATGGGCGAATAGCTAGTGTTTTATTTTCCCATATTAAAAGTGGCATACGGGCTGTCAAAATAAAGAGAACCTCAGTGTTCCTACTAAGGAAAGAGCACAGCAGGAGCTATTTGAGTAAAACAAAAAAAGGGAAGCTGCTATCCTTTCTTGGCTAGACCTTAATGTTCAGCTCAGATAGAACTGGCTTTGCGTTTAAAACCACAGATACAAACTCTTAAGATAGTTGAAGAGGTATAGTTTACAGTGTGTGGGAGGCTGGGGGCATTCTGCTGGCTCAGTTGGTGTTTGCAAGTGTGTGTTTTTGTGCAGCTGTGACTGTGGGTGGCAGGTTAGACATAAGTCAGCTCTCTGTGTTAGAGGAAGTGTGTGATTTAAAAACCCTGACTGTGCAGATTGAATTGCTTTCAGATTCTAACACTTAGCTTCAAGGTATGACCACGATAAAGTCCATTCAAGTTCTCTGTGTTATGATAAAAGAAATGTAATTAATACACATTTTTTATCAATTGTTTTAAGTATCAGAATCAGAGTTCCTTTATTTTTCCCGCAACGGAGGAATTAATGGTATTGCAACAGCAGAAGTATAGTGCAGATAAAGAAAAGAGAATTACATATTAAATAAACAAGTAAGCACCTGTTATTAATAATAAAAACAAATACCAGATTAGTACACCATGGTAAAAAAAACGACTTAGCAGTATATTTTTTTACAAAAGTGACCAGATGCAAGTTTAAAGATATATTTAGGACATATGGCAGTAATAACATCAAAGTAGTATAACATGCATATTATACAGCAGGTTAAGTATGTGCACGTATTGAAGATGGTTATACATAATGACTTATGGACTTAATTTGTTTTAGCACTCCAGCAGCTAATGGCCTGAGCACCATTTCCCACGAGTACCTGAAAGGCAGCTATGCTCTGGACCTGGAGGCAGTCAAACAGGGAGCCTCCTCTCTGCCTCACCTCAACAAGACTCTAGTTTCCTCATGCAAACGCCTTAATGGGTAAGAAGGACACACCAGCACATCTGTATGCACACATATTCTTGTCTATGCATATTGTATACAAGGCTGTTCTTTTTATGCTTTTCGGAATTGTAAAACATCACCTTAAGTCTTGTTTTGGTCACAATGGCACACGTGTTACATTCAAACATTGTGATAATACACAGGAAATATACTACATTAAACAGGCTAGGATTAAAACATGTTACATGTGCAGCCCCCATCATGCTTGCATACATATACTTTATACATTTCCTTTAGACAGATCTAAATGAGTAACTATAAATCTCTCTTTGTGTCCCGAACCAGGGAGGTGGATAAGGTTCTGTCTGGCCTGGAGATCCTGTCTAAAGTGTTTGATCAGCAGAGTGCTTTCATGGTGTCCAAGATGATCCAGCAGGTACACATGTTTGCCCCTCTGTATATCTGTGTATGTGTAGCTTAATTAGAATGCAAGCCGTCCTCCTGCTTCCTTTGTCTAACACCATGTTTGTGGCAGTGTATTTAAGCCCTGCTTTACACAGTATACTATGTACAGTATGTATAGTATGTTGAAACCAAGCATGTCAAGTGGTCTGCGTTTTTATTCGAGCAGTTAAGAGTATGTATGGACATTTGATGATTTTTAAACAAAAAATAGCATGCTTCCCTCAGAATACAGCCACCCCACTTCCCAAACATCCACTTCTCTGTTCGCTCTTAAATGTATCCTGCATTTCTCACTTTAACGTTTTGTTTCTCACCGCAAACATTTATTGAGTTACATGACATTAACAAGCTCATGAAAACACATATTGTGACCTATACATGCAAAGAGAACTAATATGAAGCTGACACACACACACACACACACACACACACACACACACACACACACACACACACACACACACACACACACACACACACACACACACACACACACACACACACACACACACACACACACTAGTGGATGTCATTTTTCTCCAGGGTCTTCTGGGGACAGCTGAGGTGGCCTTAGTCACACTTCAGTCATACACATGTTTTCAAAACAATATTTCACAGGGCAAATCTAGCACTAAGTAGTTTGTGTTTGTCTGTGTAGGAAATGTTGAAACTTCTTGTTTACAATGTTTTCCAATAATTGTGTTTGCTTGTGTTAGGGTTGAAATACATTTTTAAATGGTTAACGGTTATCACTTAAGTTACATGATAAATTGACTAGTGGCATACGTTTTGTATTACCTTTAATCATCAAGCAAAAACATTTAGTTTTATGTTTAAAAATGAGATGAGATGTATGTATACATGGGTTAGCTTTGCAATTTCACATTATGGACCAGTATTTAAAGTCTTAACAAAATACATAATTTAGGCGTGCGATTTACTAACTCAGAATCAGACTCTTTCTATGTCAAGGCCTCATTGTTGCATCACTCATGTTAAAAGCTAAATAACAAGACCATCAAAACACAACACCTCCTTCTTTTTTATCTAACCTATGACCCGTTGCTCTGCCTTTGTTTTATCTCCTCCATCAGTCGGTGAATCAGGGTGGAGACCAGGAGTTGGAGAACCTTGTGACCAAGCTAGCAATCCTCAAAGACCTGCTGTCATCCATAGAGAAGAAGGTACACCAGAAGTCCCCACCACCACACACACACACACACACACACACACATACGCACACACACGCACACGCGCACACACACACACACACACACACACAGCTGTTGCTTGTTGGTAGTGGTAAGTTTAGATAACCCTCCCCATATGATGGATCATCTGCCCTGCTGGCTGTATGTCTAGCCCCGCATGACGACTCCAGGCCGGTGTGTGTGTGTGTGTGTGTGTGTGTGTGTGTGTGTGTGTGTGTGTGTGTGTGTGTGTTGTGTGTGTGGTGTGTGTGTGTGTGTGTGTGTGTGTGTGTGTGTGTGTGTGTGTTGTGTGTGTGTGTGGTGTGTGTGTGTGTGTGTGTGTGTGTGTGTGTGTGTGTGTGTGTGTGTGTGTGTGTGTGTGTGTGGTGTGTGTGTGTGTGTGTGTGTGTGTGTGTGTGTGTGTGTGTGTGTGTGTGTGTGTGTGTGTGTGTGTGTGTGTGTGTGTGTGTGTGTGTGTGTGTGTGTGTGTGTGTGTGTGTGTGTGTGTGTGTGTGTGTGTGTGTGTGTGTGTGTGTGTGTGTGTGTGTGTGTGTGTGTGTGTGTGTGTGTGTGTGTGTGTGTGTGTGTGTGTGTGTGTGTGTGTGTGTGTGTGTGTGTGTGTGTGTGTGACAAAGTAAGGGAGAACTTATTTTCTCCACTTGAGGCCTTTGAACACATGGAAGTCAAGGCACATCTATGGAGTGAAAAGGATGACTGATTTGTGACATTTCTAGATCAAGCTGCCATTTGTTGTTGCAAGCCTTCTAAAATTCCATTCATAATCTGTAACATTCAGAAAGCCAGATGGACAGGGTGTAACACGTGGGTCATAACCGAAAGGCTATTTTTATTTTGTCATGCTAAACTGTGATTTCGTTTTTTGGCAAAGTGTACCACACCCATTAGACCTTTTGCTTTTTCCCCCGACTTGGAAGTTTGACCAGCTCTGCCCTGTTAATGGGTGACACCATTCCTACTTCATTTATAAGGAGGCTTTAAGCTGCCAGGGAAGGAAGTGGCTGCATGTCATGAATCATGTGATGTCACTGGCTCCACCTTTTTTGCTCCTGTTAAATAACATTCAGGAAATGGGAATGTGTTTCCTTGTTGACACAGACACTGAAGCTGAACACTTTACAGTTTATCAGTTTGTTTTCTGTGTTTCTTTTCTATTTGTTCTTTATTTTTGTATAACTCTCGGTGCTTTCCTTCTCTCTCTTTGTCGCCTTAGGCTCTGAAAGCTCTGCAGGACATGAGTCTGTCCTCTCCATGCTCCCTTCCTCCTCTCTCCATGCGTCACAGCAAAGCCATCCCTGTGCAGGCTTTCGAGGTACGTCGGCACACACCAGCTACAAACGTTTTATTCATTGTTCTCTCTCTGGGTGACATCATTACATGTTACTTGTTACTTGTTACTTGTTAGTAATTGGTATTAAGGCGGTAGTTAATGTCATTTGTTCTTATCATTTGACATTTCTAGGATGTGCATCACCTTAAAACTGAAACTGTTTTTCACCTTTTATCTTATCAGGGAAATGTGACGCTATCAATATATGAAGTATCAAAGTAAATACTTACATATAAGATACTAAATTATCTCAAATTTCCCCGTATGAGACATCAAAGCTTTTTCCACCCTATTGTCAATTTCAGTTCATGTTTTAATTAAAATAGTTCATATTTGTTTATATTACAAGAATAAAAGGCTGCAGAAAATCTTATTCTATAAAATCTTGAGTAGATTTAAGACTAAGGCAAACATGAGATCTCTCTGAAGCTTGTTCTCATTTATTTAAAGATACTTTTGAGGATTGGTGGTTTCGTTTCAGAGAGAACGGACTGAACCTGAATTACAGTAAACGGACTATGAAGTCATATATTCCTCAACACACTGCAGGAAGTTTATCAGCAGACCACAGGAATGTTTGTAATGCACATCCTGAGGCATCATCAGTGGCTTTATCGGAGAATATGACATTTGTCCCTTTTGGTTTTATGCACTCACTCGCACAATTGGTATTCAAGTAAATGTGGATGACTGAAATTGTGTCTATTTGTCATAAGATTGTCTTTGTTTTGAAAGTGTGCAGAAATAATAGCTAAAAGACAAAACCAGAATTCATAGTATGATGGAAGAGGTTAAGAGAAAAAAGATGATAATGATCAGTAAGAAGAAATGGGGAAAAGTGTAAGACAAAGAAGGGAGAGGAGGTTAAGGGTTTAAAATATTAGCTGTCAGCCAAGTCTGCATCCTCTGTGGTGACCTCCTTTCAGCAGCTTCCTGTTGCACAGGAACAGAAGGGTTGTTACAATGAGGTGATAGGTTTAAGATGTGGCACCTGAATTCACCCACTGACACAAACAAACCGCGTTAAGGCTTCACATGATATGACTCAAAGTCTGAATGTATTCTCTCTTTAAATGTAGAGAGCTGAGAGTTGTGTGTAAAAAAAAAAAAACGACCATCTAGAGAATCAGGTTATTGTGAGCGATTATGAAAAATCCCTGCTTTTTTTTTAAGAATTCTTATCTTTCTGACTTTTTATAACTTAAATGTAAGACTCTGTTAATTCCTCAGAAGCGGCAAGCTTGTTTTGTATGTGATAACAGTAAAAGAAGAGAGGAGAAATGAGCCATCTACTTTGATTTTGGAGACCCCTGGTGGTGTGAAGGATTTAAGATTATAAGAAAGTAGAGAGCTCTGTGGACACTTTTGCAAAAAGCACCTCCAGAATGTGTGTTTTTAAATCCTCCTCCTCTGATCCTCTTCAGGTAAAGCTGGATGTCTACCTGGCGGAGCTGACAAAGATAGGAAAGAGTCAGAAGTACACTCTGTCTGTGGACGTGGAGGGAGGACGGCTGGTAGTGATGAAGAAGGTGAAGGACAGCCAGGAGGACTGGACCACCTTCACACATGACAAAAGTAAGAATTACACAAACACTCCATATAAGTAATCAATACGTTTCCCACCCCTCAGAATTCTGTTTAACAGAGTAAGCAGCTCAGTTAGTAAAGTATGTCGTCTTGTGATCAATTTTGTTTTTAGAAAGCCTAAACAATAGCCGCATTCATCAAATGTGATGTCTTTAGAGTTAGTCTATATTTTTTGAGCGCGATGCCTGATGGTGCTATGCTGTGTGAAACCCTGATGTCAGTTTTAGCTAAATAAATAGGTTTAAATGTCTCTGTTTTATGTCTGTGGGATCCAGTGTAATTGATGTAATGTATTAATGGATCCAAGCCTGTTTCAATATAGTTTTCCTCATGGTATCATAACAATTATATATGAGGATTAAATGGAAAATAAACACGCTTTTTTTGTACAATTTGTATAGTCTATTAACTTCATTTTAACCAACTTGAACTCCATTCCTTCTACTCCCTGACCTTGCTTTTCTTTCCTCCTATCTCTGACCTTCTGTCTGTGTATTTGTCTGTCTCAGTCCGTCAGCTGATCAAGTCTCAGCGTGTGCAGAATAAACTGGGCATTGTTTTTGAGAAGGAGAAGGACAAGAGCCAGAGGAAAGACTTCATCTTTGCCAGTGCCAAGGTCTGCACACACACAGTCGCACACTGCCTCACACATACATTTGTGGATGTCAGAAAGTATAATGTTTTATTCATTCAAACACACTCTCACATTTTTATTTCTTAAATGTAATAAAGTTGAGGATACTAACAGAGCCAAGATTTAGCACAGACCAACAAACAAATCTTAGCAATTAATTCAGCTTCAAATGACAATATGATAATAAAAAAGCCAAAGAGAGTTGTCTGCCTGCTTTAAATGAGAGAGCTGCTAAGGAATAAACCATATCATGTATTTCAATGTTAAATAGTTTAGTGAAAGCACATGAAACTTCAATGCTACTTAAAAACAAGGTGCCCTTTTGTGGCAACTTCCTCTGACTGATGTCACTGTGTGTGTGTGTGTGTTGGTGTGTGTGTGTGTGTGTGTGATGTGTGTGTTGGTGTGTGTGTGTGTGTGTGTGTGTGTGTGTGTGTGTGTGTGTGTGTGTGTGTGTGTGTGTGTGTGTGGTGTGTGTGTGTGTGTGTGTGTGTGGTGTGTGTGTGTGTGTGTGTGTGTGTGTGTGTGTGTGTGTGTGTGTGTGTGTGTGTGTGTGTGTGTGTGTGTGTGTGTGTGTGTGTGTGTGTGTGTGTGTGTGTGTGTGTGTGTGTGTGTGTGTGTGTGTGTGTGTGTGTGTGTGTGTGTGTGTGTGTGTGTGTGTGTGTGTGTGTGTGTGTGTGTGTGTGTGTGTGTGTGTTTCAGAAGCGGGAGGCATTTTGCCAGCTGCTGCAGCTGATGAAGAACAAACATTCCAACCAAGACGAGCCAGACATGATTTCCATCTTCATTGGCACCTGGAATATGGGTCAGACACATGCAGACACATTTATTATGTCTTCACATTAGTTGTTATTTTCAACATAATGTTAATAGCAAAACACACTGGCTTACATATGTTCACAAGTTGCTTAAAAAAGAACACAAATATATGAATTTCCAGGGCATGACTAGTATCTTTGGAAGACAAAGTAACATTTTGTCTTTGTGTGTAGGCTCAGTGCCCGCTCCGAAGTCTCAGGCCTCGTGGGTGTTGTGTCGCGGCCTCGGGAAGACTCTAGACGAGATGACGGTCACCATCCCTCATGACCTTTATGTGTTTGGAAGCCAAGAAAACTCTGTGTGTGATCGGGAGTGGGTGGAGTCGCTGCGTGCCTTATTGAAAGAACAGACGGAACTGGATTATAAACCGGTGAGGAAACAAAGATTTTACAAGATGTCAAATTATTTGAGCTTGATCGAATGTACTGTATGTATTTAGGTCCTGAGGCTAAGTTGAGACAAAGACAGAAATACCAATGTTGACTATACAGCTTCTTCACTGTTGTTGTTTTTATTGGTTGTAGATCGCAGTGCAAACTCTGTGGAACATAAAAATTGCTGTGTTGGTGAAACCGGAACACGAGAACCGGATCAGCCACGTGGGAATGTCCAGTGTCAAGACCGGCATCGCCAACACATTGGGTAACAACAGTTCTCTATATTCAGTATTTATTCTATATGTTTTACCTTCTGAACAAAATCCAGAGGAAAATAACAACAATGGAATAACAGCATGATCAAACTCTGACTTTTTTTCTGTTAACAAAGGGCAAGTTAAAGGGTTATAATGGATTTAATTACTTCATCTCTTACTCACTAACAATGTGAATTGGATTTAAAAGAAAACACATGGTATCTCATTGAGTAAATGCAATTACTATAATATAAACTCTGTAAAAATGTACTCGCAAAGGAGTTAACTAAAGATTCTGATAGCAGTGTTTTATTTTACATTTTATTGACGGGCAATTTATTCAACAGGATCAAAATGATTTTATGTTCTTGTCATTCAAGCAATTACAGTTGATTGCTGTAATAAATGTTTGTATGTTTGTTTTAGGGAACAAAGGAGCTGTGGGCGTGTCCTTTATGTTCAATGGGACATCTTTTGGCTTTGTGAACTGTCACCTGACATCAGGGAATGAGAAGATTGCCAGGTACCTCCCACAGTCCTGCACACACATTATTTATGTTTTTTTTCATTTCAGGGTATTTGACTTATTAACCCTTACATTTGGACACTTACTTTGTGGTTGATACTTTGACAGTGCCTCAGTAAACCTCCCAAACAACAGTCATTACTTCTTTACCTGTGACACAAATGACTTTTGACACACTTTTACTGTGTGCCAGAAAACATCACACATTACTCTTTTACCTCTTATTATCTGTGACACATGTGACCTTTGACCCATACAGGAGGAACCAGAACTACCTAGATATCCTACGCCTGCTGTCGCTAGGAGACAAACAGCTGAGCTCCTTCGATATCTCACTGCGCTTTACACACCTCTTCTGGCTGGGAGACCTCAACTACAGGCTGGATATGGACATACAGGTGAAGCAGAACACACACACGCACGCACGCACACACACACACGCACACGCACACGCACACGCACACACGCACATGCTGCTGATTGAATGGAGCAGGTTTTGATGAAGCTTAATTTTGTGGCTCCGCGTCTATTGTGTCTGTGCAGGAGATTTTAAACTACATTAACAGGAAGGAGTTTGAGCCCCTGCTGAAGGTGGACCAGCTCAACCTGGAGAGGGAGAAGAACAAAGTATTTTTACGCTTTGGTGAGTATGCCTGTGTTTCTACCAGACAGTCTTTCTATCTGTCTTCCAGTGCTGTTTACCCCCTCTCCCTGTGCATAATGGAATTGATATCGCAAGTGTCTCAAAGATTAAACATCTGTCAGTTCTTCGTAAGAAACAAATACTCACAAATAATGTAAATGTGTCAAATCAAGCGGCAAAAAGAAGTCTGTGACTATCTGTGTTCATGTTTTAAAAAATACAATCAGTCAGCTTTTCCTACAAAAGAAGTGGCTTCTTTCTACGGCACAAATGCAACTCCCACTTAGTGTGGGAAAGAGAGAGGGGTTGTGTTTTGTTTCAGCAATTGTCCGTTTGTTTATTCTCAATTCAATGTGTTTATCATATTTATTGATCTTTTTTAAATGGTTTGGGCCTTTCCACTCACTTGCTTCGAGTCCTAACAAGTGTGTGTGTGTCTCCTGGCTTGCAGGGGAAGAAGAGATCTCGTTCCCGCCCACCTACCGTTACGAACGTGGCTCAAGGGACACGTATGTGTGGCAGAAGCAGAAGGCCACTGGGGTTTGTTTACTTACTGATCAACATCACAGATAGACTTCCTCTTAGCCTTTTCTGACAACTGATAACCCTGCTGCATCTTCCTTATTACTGTCTGTCACAGATGAGGACTAATGTTCCATCCTGGTGTGACAGGATCCTGTGGAAGTCTTACCCAGAAACACACATTGTCTGCAACTCCTATGGTGAGACCATCAGCAAAAAAATAATTAAGCACATTGTAATTGATTGTATCAGATGTCCCTTTTTTTTCTTAATCTTTTAAGCAATTTCCGTCTAGACATTGTTTATATGGGCTTTACGGAAAGGTTATATGATTGATCAACAAGGAGACCTACTGAACTATATTCTGCTTTGTTTGTCAGGATGTACGGATGATATAGTGACCAGTGATCATTCCCCTGTGTTCGGCACCTTCGAGGTGGGGGTGACGTCCCAGTTTGTCTCCAAGAAAGGTACTGGTGAAATACTTCTGTTCTTGCTCTTCCTCAGGCTGTAAATACATGATTTGAACATAACCATATCAGCGTATTTTTAAAATAGAGTGTGCACGTCTTAGAAATGTAATGATGATTTCTTGTTTTCCAGCTCAAATCTAGACAGTATGTGATGTATTTCTGTAGTCGGGTCAATGACTCACAGCTGAACAGAGACCAGAAAGCAATGAGTTTGGCAGAACAGAAAGGAAAATCAAACAGCACCCTGTTACTCATTCTGCATGTTTATTCATACTTTGTTCTCTAAGGTTGGCAGATGTAGCATCACAGCTTTTGTTTTCACCGGATTAGGGATGTGCATGCCGTTAGTATATTGTTACTGATTAAAATGTACGATATGCTAAATGTTTTTGGCTAACTCCTTCTGCATAAGTCTTTTAATTTAGTTATTCTCATTTATACATGCTATTTGCGCCACTGGCTAAGATCTCCCCCCATCCCTTCCTTCCATCTTGTTTCTTTGTAGGTCTACCAAAGTCTTCAGAGCAGGCCTACATTGAGTTTGAGAGCATCGAGGCCATAGTGAAAACGGCGAGCAGAACCAAGTTTTTCATCGAATTCTACTCCACTTGTCTGGAAGGTGAGAAAAACACGTGTTTGCAGGAACTTTCTGTAACCCCAAGTGGATGTAATTAAAAAGTGTCTGTTTTTTCTTTTCGTATGTCTCCCTTCCTCTCCTATCTCAGGCAGTCAGTATACCTTTAAGCTCGAATCCATTTTTGACCTGTGCTGCATCCCCACCTCCTCTTAACCATGTACCTTTGAAAGAATCATCTTCCTTCTCTCCTTCCCTCCTTATTCCCTTTGTTGTCTCCCCCTTCCCCTCTGCCCTGCATCCCTCTCTCTGTCTCTCATCTGTAGAGTTTAAGAAGAGTTATGAGAACGACAGTCAGAGCAGCGACAACGTCAACTTCCTGCGTGTGGGCTGGTCCAACAAGCAGCTGACGACGCTCAAACCTCTTCTCTCAGAGGTGGAGTACCTGCAGGACCAACACCTGCTGCTCACTGTGAAATCCCTGGACGGATACGAGTCCTACGGTATAAAGAGAACGTTTTTGTTGTTGCTGTGAAGTTCTTTAAACTTGACTTTAGTCTGACAAAACAAGCATGTCTGTGGTTTTTTCCCCTGCTAGGAGAGTGTGTGTTGGCTCTGAAGTCTATGATTGGCAGCACACCACAGCAGTTCCACACCTACCTGTCCCACCGTGGAGAGGAAACAGGAAACATCAGGGGGTTAATGCGGGTCAGAGTCCCCTCTGAAAGGATGGGAACCAGGGAGAGACTCTATGGTAATCTGCTGTATATGTCACTGTGATGAAAAGAACAGAAAACTTGAGTAGGAGAATTTAACAGACGATAATTAAAATGAATCTTACTTCTATTCAGTGAAAAGGAATATTTAAAGGAAGCAGTTGAGACAAATGAAAGGACTTCGAAGCTTCAGGAGTTTGAAAACATGAATGAGAAATGATGCAGTTTGACTCTTTTTTTAATCCTACAATTTTGTTATGGTCGTATTTCAGAGTGGATCAGTGTGGACAAGGATGAGACGGGTGCACCCAAAGGGAAATCCACTTTGGCATCCAGAGTGGGACATGAATACATAAAGTCAGTACGCTGTACTCTTTTAATTTGATATGTGATGTGGATTTATAGGGAACTGCAAAAAAGCTGTTTTATTACAATTATTATCCTTTGGAATACTTCACATTATTGTACACACCATGTTTTCCTGCCTGTACATAATGACACTATAGAAGATATACCAATAATACAAGATAAAATGGCAATGTATTTTGACTGATTCGCTTTAACATTTACAATAGTATTGAAGAAACAGCCATTTTTTCGCCTAACTATCCATCAATATTAATACAGTTAATCAATGCAGAAATACCGTCATTATCATCATTATGTTATTTTGTAAAGAATAATCATTATATTGGAAGGAGGAAACTTTATTGATCATGTTCGCCATTTTCCTGATGTGCCCAAGCATGCTGAAATGGTCCCATTTTGGGAGCTTTAATTAAAGGTGGGGTAGGTAAGTTTGAGAAACCGGCTCGAGATACACTTTTTGTTATATTCCATGGAATGCTCTTAACATCCCGATAGCAATGAATATCTTAAGTGCTTTGACAAAAAATCCATTAAAAAATGTCATCTGTGGAAGCCGTAATACTGTAAAAAGTACGACCAATCATTTTAGCCGGCCCGGCTAAAATAACTGGATGGCCTACCTGCCTGTCAGCCTTCCATCTGTGCACAAACTTATCTCGTGCCCTCATTGGTCATGTGCGCGTTCGTGTGTGTTGGAGGAGGAGCTCTGTAAGGAAGTGGCAGATTTTTTCCGGCTGTGTATTTTCAAATTCTAGCGCACTCGAGCTGGTTTCTCCAAAATTACCTACCCCACCTTTAAGTGTTTAGATAATCTCCATTAGCTTTTCCTGCTTATTGTTCTAAATCATCGGTTTTGTCTCTGATGCTGACTTGTTACGATGTGCTCTCGATGCAGGCCGTCTGCGGTCCGTAAACAGCTAGGAGAGCTGGGAAAAGTCAGTGAGGAGGGAGAAAGGAGCATCAAGGAGGAAACTGCTGCTAGGTACTGATGCACATTTATGTCGTTTACACACACTGACAGAACGTGAAACCCATAAAACATCAAAGATATAAGCCATCAACCACCTGTTTTGTTCTTGTTTGTATTAAAAGGCCTAAACAGGAAGGAACCGACGGGGATCCATCCGTCTGCAAGAACAGCTACAATAACCCCGCCTACTACATCCTGGAGGGCGTTCCTAATCAGTCGGCCGCCGCTCTTTCAGCCGAGCTTCTTCCATCTCCTACCTCCTCAAACCCCCAGGTGACTAAAGCCCCTATTCCCTCAGCTGGAGCTCGAACCAAGCCCCCCTTTGTGGCCTCGGGGCCCTCTCACACACGCAGACCCACCACAGGGCACCCGGTCCGCGCTATAAGCGAGGAGGGGTCATCAGAGGACGATGGGGGGGCCTGTGTAGCAGCAGCGCAGGGGGTGAATGTCGGGACAACAGTTGGAAGCACGCTGAACCGCCCCCCTCCTGACTTCCCCCCTCCTCCTCTTCCTAAGGGGGCCGTGGAGATGGTGGCAGAGACCCCCTTCTCCATACATCGCGCTCTTTACCCAGATCTAGCCGAGGTCAGGATCCCAGCAGCCAGTCCTGCAGCCCCGCTGGCACTCGGGGAGGGTTTCAGACGAGGAGGGGGAGGAGGAGGGGGAGGGGGAGGTTCGGGGGCGTTGGACGACCAGTCGTGTTCGGTGCTCCAGATGGCAAAGACACTGAGTGAGAGTGAGTTTTCTGGGCACCCTCCACGCGCTCCGTCTGCGCCGCCGCTCAGAGGGCATCCGATGGGATTAAATCTGGACGCCTGCAGAACTTTCCCGCCCAGGAATGCCATCACAGAGAGTATCGCAGAGGATATGCCAGAGGAGGTGAGCACTTTATTTATTTATTTTAAATGTAACGCAACCATTAATGCTTTGGCAGATGATGGGATTAAAATGTGTCTTGTTTGGGTTGTCATGAGTCATTTCTTCCAAGCTATCCCATTTTGTGTACAAAAAACACCAATCTCTTCAATTTGGGAATAACCCAGCTACATATTTTCTAGAATGTTATGTAAACGCCTCTATACAGTCATACAGTCATTTCTACGATTATACTACAGGAACTGGATCCCTTTCCTCTTCTACTTTAATTTAAAGTGGACCTATCATGCTATATTTGAATAATATAGTGTAGGACCATACCTATATAAGGCATATTTATACTTTTTTTTTTTCAAAATACCAAACAGATCATGCATTTTAGCCATGCCTCATTTCGCTCAATTTGAAAAATGTTGGCTCTGTTTTTGCAAGGGCTGATTCTGTGAGAACAGCACCACTTACAGGCCTGGCATATGTACTACAGCGTCTCCAGCGCTTTCGAACGGCAATGGCCGTGGCTGTCTCCTCCTGATTGGTGGAGTTGGCCCAATAGCCGTAGCGCCACTGTCCTGACGTCAGGACAGTGTTCAAATCTGGATCAGTTTTTATCAGATCCGTTGCAGCCCCTTTTTTAGAGATTTGGGTATGGAGGAAAATAGAGAGGGTTGTGTTTTCTGACACTTGGTGAGTTCCCTGGAACACCGGGGACACATATTCATGTATAAAAGACGTACAAAAGTGCATTTTGCATGATAGGTCCCCTTTAAGTTTTAGTGCATCTTTCTCAGACTGAAGAAAATGTAGCCCTTCCCAAGCGATATATGTTATCTTTAACTGACTTTCGACATTGCTGACTAATGTTTTGTGGAAGAGCTGCAATGTTCCTACAGCAGTTTTGAGTAAATCCTGTATTTAATTTCCCCTGCGAAGGCACTTTGGGGCAGCAGTAGCTCGTCTCTGTCTGTCGGGGAATCCTCCGTGGCAGAGTGGCTGCAGAGACTGGGACTAGAGAGGTATGAGAAGGGCCTCCTACACAACGGCTGGGACGACCTGGAGTTCCTCAGGTACATACACTCAGACATGTTGAATTTCATGTTTTGCTGCATGCTTTAGTCCTGTTGATGTAGATGGAAGATAGTTCACAGAAAAACCATCTAAGTGCAGAAACCTGTGTGGGATTTAGAAATAAATATCTACTGTTATTTTTAGTAAATCATTACTGTTGAGTAATAGTAATTGTTTTTACAGTGATATCACTGAGGAGGACCTTGAGGAGGCGGGAGTGCTCGACCCTGCCCACAAGAGGATCCTGCTGGAGAGCCTGAGGCAGCAGCAGCCTCCGAAATAAACTGTTTCAAACCGGCCTGTTTCACCGGGTCCCAGGAGGCTCAGCTGAACTGAACTAAACTGAACTAAACTGAACTGAACTGAACTGAACTGAACTGAGCTGGAACGTGCCAATTAATGCCAGACTGTGCCTTCTGAGAGAAATTGCACTCCCATTTGAAATTTCAAAAAAACACTTGTAGAGTTACCATCTTTATTTTCCACTTGTACTGTATGTGTGTCGTCGTAGAGGTGGCCTTATTTAATGAGAATCATTTCAGTCCTTCCAGCGTCACTACATAACCCTCTTCTTGAAACCTCGTGAGAAGATGCAGGGTGAGAAATATAATTTGTTAGTGACTCATGTTTAAAGCAGCTGCTGCCTTGATGTTGTGCCATCACTTCTAACCTGCAGCTGAAGCTGGCGTTAAAGCTTGTTTGTGTTGCCCTGAGAAACGTTCATTTACAGAGTCTGCTGAGTTTAAGACTCCTTGATATGGGAAATGAAAATAGGGCTTTTTGGAGGAAAACCAGAGCTTTTTTCCCCACAAACGGTCATATGTGGGAAATTGTGAGATAGCACTCAAGGGTAATGTTGGCGTTTAGCTCGCGTAGAGGAACACTTGGGACAGGAAGTGGTGACAAAAGAGGAGCTAGCCTTCACTCATGTCAGACTAAAGCTCGCTCAACTTGCATTTCTCAAATGTTGTACTTTTGTGTTAACGTTTGGGCCATTGTTGTTTAAATAATGGCATTTATTGTCTCAGTGTCTCTGCATGTATTTATGGTTTTATGTTTTTTTTTTGTTTAATGATAAAGGGAATATGGAGCAAACCAACCAAACCGGTCCTGGGAGAGCTAAAAGGTTATTTTTCCCCAGGGTACAACATTTAAGTGCCTGTGTTAGCCATTAGCCACCCCAGTGTGTGATTTGTTCACACTCAACACTGACATTTCATATTTTTTATCTGAATTTTGCAGATTTTGACAAGTTTAGAAACAGTGTTTGTTTGATCATCTAAAAAATCTACTTAGGCTACAAAAGTGTACATAAGGTAACAAATGTTGTACCAAAATGAAATATCCTTGAAAATGCTTGACCTAGCTCACACTTTAATTGTCTGTACATTTCAATTTACAGAAGAAGACATTTTGGAAACTAAGGACCCAGGTTTGATGGGCTAAATGTCACATATTTCACTAATTTTTTTAAATGAAGCAGTTTTCAGGGAATTGGTTACCTTAGCCAAATAGATTACTTCTAACTACTAATGATTACTATACAAATAATGTACTAAGCAATCATATTTCCATTTCTAAAAAGGAAGATATTTGTCATGAAACATAATTGCCTGTAAAACAGTCTAAATATATTTGTCTTTTGCTGATTTAATTTGGCTCTTTTGTTACATTACTACAGACACAGACTAATGTAGGGTCATTAGATATGTTTCTACTCTTCGGAGATTTCACCTCATAATACGTTAAAAACTGAAATGTCAGATTTCTGCAGGACGCAGGTGGCTGTTGTTCCCTGATGTGCCCAGCAGGTGGTGCTGCTACTCTATAAACACCATCAGTAGGTCTGATGCTTACTGTGGAAACTGGGAAAATAGGACAGAACTAAGTCATCTTCAGTGAATGGTTCGTTTGTTTGTTTATAAATGTTTCCTGTGCAGTTACAATCATAGAGCTAACATACCAGTTAGTGTTCACGTTGCCTTGTTTTGTTCTTAATTTAAATCCTGCCTCTTTTCTTCCTGTGAAGCCAGTTTGTTTTAAGAGATGCTGAGAACTCTAAACTCTTTTTCCTAATTTGGACTAAATATGTGATTGTAGCAGTTTGTATTCATGTCTGTTTCTCCTATTTCTTTGTGACCCAACGACATCCTTTAATTATGTTGCCCACATACAGCCTTACAAGTCTCAGCCACGGGTGTTATGTGTTGCACACCTTGTCTAATTTTCTAACAGTCAAACAACCGTAATGCAGAGAATGTGGTTTAGTCTTGTTAAATCTGATGTCTTTTCAAGCCCCTTGGCTTCTCAGTGTTCTCTGTTATGTGTGAGGGTGTGTGTGTGTGTGTGTGTGTGTTTGTATTTGCGTATGAGTGAAAAAGACGCCCCATTGTTTTCTTTGACTTACTTTTTCTTGTTATTTCATGTAGTCACCTCTTTTTTGTAATGTTAAGTTAATGTTTTGTTTGCCCATGTCTTTTTTTTTTTCAATTAAAATCTAATATCTTAACTTTTTTCCTACATTTGCTAATTTTTCTTCTTTTTGTTGTCTGCAGGGAAAGCTGAGAGGATGTGACAGTAATGGTTTGTGAGCTGTAGACGTGCCTCATAGCAGGAAAGGGAAAGAGTGTACGGTAAATAAATGACAGTCATTTCAGTTTTTATTTAATCATGATTTCAGGGGCATGTCCTTCCAGTGTTCATGAAAACAGATTTGTTAGTTTCTGTGGTCTGCACATAACACACAACACTCTCATCACTTTGTTACACACAAGAAACCAGATCATAAATGCGTCACGTAGTGCTTCCATAATGTTTATTAGAATATTCAGAGTAGTGCTATAACTTCTCATTCACTAGAGCTTCTGTTGATTCATAGTTTTCATGGACGTGTCGGTCTGATGCTCCGCAATGAAATAACTCTTTAAAGCAACATGAGAGAAATCAACAAAAAGCTACCTAATATTTATTATATTACTAATTTACAGTCACAAAATGTCATGGAGCAGTTCAAAGAAATGTGTGGGTTTCCTCACTGACATAATAAAGAATATTAATAAATACATGTTTTTTTCCCCCTTTTTAAGTAGATTTCTGGAGTCTTTCTTCAAAAAGGTCCGCTCTGAAATCAGTCTTGTTTCAGTGATTAGCTACAACAAGAAAGATAGGTGATACACAAGCAATTTCGCAAGGTGAGAGAAAGAACAAACAGCTGCTTTTTTGCAAAAAAGGATGGACGTAAACGGGAACAAAATCGAGGAATCAATGGATACACAGTAGAAAAGTCCCGTAACCGTCTGCATCTCTCTTTATATTGCCAACATTAGACCGGCTTGCTTTGCATTACGGAGAAAATCGTCCCATATTTGTCAGCCTTTGTAGAGTTAATGGAAAACTCATGAGAGAGTCAAAGTCAGTGAGGGGTTTTAGGTCTGTTTGAGTTCGTAAAACAGACTCAACAAACTCAGTGCTTTCCAATCTCCAGCAGGAGAAAACTCTTCAGTCAGCGATGAAAGTGAGAAACCAGTTGTAGTCAGTTTGAATTAGATTGTGGGTAAACTCTGCTCTGTGTATTATCACATCGTTCACCCCTCTCCACCAAGAGGACAGGCAGGAAACGGCACCGTGCCTTAAGTTCTCCCTCAACATTCGCTTGATTAATTTAAACAAAGTGCCCACTGTCTGATAGAGAAAGGCCGGAGTGAAGGGAAGGGACCAGTGAGGGGCTTCACATTGAGGATGGTAGAGGGAGAGTCAGGACTTGATACAGTAAAGAGGAAGGGGTGAACTGGGGAGGTGTTGTATTAGGAGCCTGCTGCTCTAATTGGATTTGTGGGGTGCTTTGCTCTGCTCGGCAAAGAGATTTAAGGGGACCCTGTTCCCTTCTGCTGGGAGACTGTGTCGAGTTGTGCTTGAGGGTGAAAGTTTGTTTGTTTTGTTTCCTGAGCCGCTGCTCAGGCTGTCCAAGGCTCTGCTGCAATGCAGAGAGTGTGGGAATGTGGGTTTATGTGTGACTGAAAAGACGAAGAGGAAACGAGACTGTGTAGGAACGTTTGCGCTGTTTCAGAGCCTGTACATAAAGAGCGTTCCATCATTAAATCGTGTCTTTTAGGGTTATCTGAGGACGTATGAATGGATTTGTGGATGAAATTAAAAATGATTGAAGGAAGTTATAGAAGGAAGGAAATGGACCATGTCCCGAGTTTTGAAGTAGCAGTTGCATAATATGTTTAGAGATGGTGACCTGACCTTTGACTTTACTATGTGAGCTTTGAATTTGACGGGATAGTTTTATAGAAAAGAACCAAGGGCCTTTCTGAACTATAGCAGACTACACCTGTGAATTCAGCGTTATAATGTGGGTAAGTCCTGACTCTCAACAAAAGCTAGAAACTCATCACTGTTCCAGTGGACAGCATAATGTTTGTTTCTCATTTCCTCTTCCTCTGGGCTTCAGAACAGGTTCGTCTTGATGTTGGGGTTGGGTTTTCTGTGGAAGGAGGACAGGACTCCGGCAAAGGGCCCGGTCATACTGTCTGCCGGCTGCCAGGCCTTCAGAATCTCCTGAGTCTGGGCGGCGGGCTGGGCCACGGCTGGGTTGGAGGGCCCGAGGTTGGACCAGCTGGGCGGCTTCAGCCCCTGCAGCACCGGAGAGTTGGAGGCGTTGATGTAGCCGCTGTTGGCAGGAGCCGGGCTGGGGCTCAGGCTGGCAGGGCTGCCCATGTTCCCATTTGCCGAGCCCGGCAGGGAGGCCGTGCTGTCAGGCGTGGGGCTGCAGGTAGACTCTTTGGACTCGTCATCATCGGATGAAGATCTCAGCTCTCCGCCCTTCTTCCCTCCTGAGCTGCTGCTGGAGCTGCTGCCCGTGGTGCCGTTTGAGTTGTTGGCCTTTGAGTTGGCTGCACGCTCCTGCTTACGAAACTTAGCACGCCTGTTCTGAAACCACACCTGTAAAAAAAAGACAGATATACAGTTAACATGTGTAAGAAACTACACAAGATAGATGGATGGATATAGATAGATGGATAGATAGATAGATAGATAGATAGATAGATAGATAGATAGATAGATAGATAGATAGATATAGAAATATAAATATATAGATGGATAGATGGATAGATAGATAGATAGATATAGAAAGATAGATAGATAGATAGATAGATAGATGGATAGATAGATAGATAGATATAGATAGATAGATAGATGGATAGATAGATAGATAGATAGATAGATGGATAGATAGATAGATAGATAGCTCTAAAGTTTTCCTTTGCTTAAGTTGTGTTTAATTTATTCTACCTGAAACTCTCTTCATGTTTAAGAAAGCAGAAGAATAAAGGCTGCTACTCTCACCTGAACCCTTGCCTCGGTCAGGTCTATCTTTAGCGCCAGCTCCTCCCGGGTGTAGATGTCCGGGTAGTGCGTCTCGGCAAAGACCCTCTCCAGCTCCTTCAGCTGGGAGCTGGTGAAGGTGGTCCTGATGCGCCGCTGCTTCCTCTTCTCGTTCAGGCCGGAGGGGTCCGAGAAAAACTTGTAAGGGACTGTACGGGAAAAATGATATCCGTTAATGGAATAGTAACATTTGAACGTTCACCAAGCGCAGAGGGCCTGCGTAAATGATGGAGAACCCGTATAACTCGTCAACATTTTTTTTTTTATATATAAAGTCAAATTATGCTTTAGTTACTGGTTTGTGGATGCCGGTTTATTTTATTGACTAATTGTTTGCAGGGTTGTTTTCAAAGCCAATGAGAATATATAATAGGCTGAATGCCCTTTACAGACCACATTTATAAAACAATAAAGAAAACGCTGATCGCTGGTTAAATTGTGTAGCCTTATACAGAATAATGTAGCCAAATGTTGTCTCAAATTAATTACAGGCTATAAACAACTATAATTTAGGCCTGTTGATCGGATTTATAAAATGTTTTGAATTAAAATCCGACAGTATAAATGTCAGTTTGCAATTCAAATCTATGTAGGTTATTATGGAGTAAGGTCACGGATAATGGAAATATCAAGAAACATAAAACGAGAATTTCCGTGTATTTGTAAGCTTGTTAAATGTCACATTAACTCGATCAGAAAAGAACCTCACTGCTCTGAGAAAGAAATCATCGATAGGTTTGTTTTGATGGGAGTGAGAACAGGGTGACAAATGTTTGCAGTTCTTTACGGAATTAAATCAATGCATGCGATTTGCAAACTGCAAAAATAATAAAAACATTTGCATAATGAGTTTAAAATAATAAATAGTTAAAATGTAAGAATTGGACACAATTATGATTCAGGCAAATTAACATTTTCCCACCCAAATAATGTGTCCGTTAGGCGGGCCTCTGGCAAGTGTGTGGGATTCGAAGCTATTTTCGATTATTCTCTTAGAAAATGTATATTATTATTATTATTATTATTATTATTATTATTATTATTATTATAATTGTCATTATTATTATCAGCATATACGTTATTTTCTTTATAAATTGGCGCATACATGCATATCAATGCCATTTCTCACATTAATAGACGATGTTTCACCTTAAACAATATATATATTTTAAGTCATCATATAAAATAAATAAAGCATTTAACGGAATTACCATTAAACTGCCTTTCTCCATTAATTCATTTGCCGTAATTTATTCTAAACGACAAATTAAGTGCATTAAGATAAAATCCATGTAAAACCATTTAGGCTTTTAACGATATAGACAATTTGGATAATAACGAAAAAGAAAATCACAGTTCCATATTTTCTTTTCCCCCCTCTGTTTGCTTAACGTCTAAAATGTGTCACAGCTCAGCATCAAGCCAGAAAAATTATGGAGACGACAGAATAACATAAACATTTATATCATTGCTCTAACATTGTGTATATCCCCGCAGACCCTCAGGAGAGGGGGCTCCTACCTGAGGAGTAGGGTGTGGGCTGGTGCTCGCGCAGGGCTCCCAGGGTGCAGCTGGCCGTGCTGAGGGGGGTGCAGCCCGGGTTGGAGAAGGGTCCGCTCCGGATCGGGTTGTACTGGAAGGAGCTGGCCTGGCTGCAGGAGCTGAAGTCCGCGTAGGCCGAAGCTTCCATGGCCGCCATGCAGGAATCATATGAGTTCAGGTAGGAGTAATCCATTTTATACATGGAGAAGAACCGGTGCAAACTACCGGTTTGCCAACAAAAAAGCAAATAACTGTGAGCAGAGGGGCTCGGGTGTGTCTGCAGCCGTCTTCAAGTGAGGAGTTGCAGGGAATATTGTTCGGTATGTCTCTCCAGTATCTCCCAGGACTGAACTCCTGTCAGTTTTATATCTCACTGTGACGGGACTGTTTTTTATATTTCTCGGTTAATAATCCAGATGTTTTTCTCTTCACTCTTCTTGTTCACTTTCTCCTGTTGTCTCTGTTCGGCTCTCCTCTCTGGACTGCTCCTCGCGCTGCTGTCTCTCTCCGTTTGACAGCGCGCTGCAGCTCGCGCAGTGTTTATAATAAACTTGGCAGAGCGCGAGACAATAGCGAGGCGGTGGTCTAGTTTCCATGACAATGCCCCCCCCCACTCCTCCCACCACTCACTGCACCGCCCACGCGCTCCAGAGTATCGCGAGCTCGCAGGTGTCAGCAGAGTTAAATCGTAGGGCTAAAAAACGAAATGCTTCTTATTTAAAAAAGTTTTACATGTGTTTCCTTTATCGGACGTTTCTAATTTTGACGATTCAAGTCAATATTGGACTGAAATCAAGCGTTAATCTCAGTTTCATCAGCTCACAAACTCTCACAATGTTCAGCCATCCAAGATAGGCAAATACTTTTGTCTTCTCCTGAATTTAGTCTACTATACATCCCCTCTTTTTCCACTATTTTGATGAGATGCTTTAATTCAAGGAAAGCAGCCTTGCCTAACAGCCTCTTGAAGAGCCCATAAACCACGTCCGGTCTGTGAAGTATTGTTCATTTGTGGAATTGTATTTATTTTTAACAGCCTATCTTTGAATTCAGGATGCAGACTTGGACTCAATAAGATTTGCGGATTTTGAAGTCCAGAATATGAATGTGTTTGTTAAAATATCACAAGATTATGAGCCTGTAGAGATTTTAAATGAAAGAAGCAATATTCCATCGGTTTGGGATTGAAATGTGTCCGATATTGGATGCATCTATTAGAAAACACTCAGGCTAGACACCATTTTGCTGTTCTGGGAGCCTAATTTCTGGTTTATTTGTGCAAAAACCTAGCCTATTATAAGTGCTAACGATTAGTGTATGCTAAAACAGTATATTTAACCTATTAACATGTGACTAAATTGTATCTGTTACAGGCTGAGGAAATGGATCGAATAATGCTCCATTGCTGATCATAGTTTCACTGCCCCTCAAACGGCTCGTGGAAACAAGTGAAGCTCAGCCACAGAAGTCTTTATGTAGGGGAACACGTCCAGATGTGACGGTGATTGGTGAGATTAAAAGCTTTGATTTGATTCCGATCACTTTTTACGGAGATGTCACCAGAGTGAGCGTCACTTTGATGTATAGGACTAGAGAGGGAAGTGGCTGCGGAGACAACTGAGCATCCACGACAGGCTAACCATAAACGCATTGACGCTCCATAAATTGGTTTAAGTTTATTGTTCGGTGTCATACAATGTGATAAGTCATATCCCACACGGCCCCCAACACACACACACACACACACACACACACACACACACACACACACACACGCACACACGCACACGCACACGCACACGCACGCACACACACTTGAAACCGGCTCTATGCAGTTTTCAAATCTGATGCAATTCGAAAACACGACATTTCAGGCTCTGTTCATGAAATTAACAGGCGTTTTATTAGAGGATACATTTCAACAAATAACATAACCCACAAACCAAAATTACGTTTTCCGTGAATGCGATAAATTAATTAAGTTTGGATTGTGTGTGTGTGTCTCTTATCTCTTCTTGACCAGAGGCTGCATGATGATGCTCCTTAATGTCATTAACCCACCAAACACGCGCATGCGTGCATTTGCCGCGTTGCACTCACTTAAACTACCAATAAGTATAAATAATAAGATTTGTTTAAAGCGTTTATTGTGTGGTTGGTGAGAGCTGTGGATGTTTGGGGCGGGGCGGCACGCGGAGCTGCTGTTGGTAGAGTTGTTGGTGCTGATGTTGGCTCACAGTTCTGGATGAACGTCACTGATGTCTGTCGCTGTGTCCAAGTCCAGGCCAGACACAAGAGCTCTGGGTTTAAGAGGGCAAACCTGAGCCCTAGTCTTTTCACGTAATTATTTCTAAAGATATATCGCACTTAAATACAATAACATACCATTTTAAGATGTGTGCGTAATCACGACATACCAGGCCATTCTTATTATTATCAAATTTCAAATGCTTTAGATCCTTAATTAAGGTCTCGTTAAACAGCCTTATAACTTATTCCTTATGTGATACGCACACGTGTCCAACCCACATGGACTTTTAAGACACAACAAGTTTTAGTCATAAACAGTTTTGTTTTCCTAAACATATAAACTCATATAGGCTTTTAAAAATATTTGAGTTTATGTGATCCACTTACTTCCAATATTCTTTTAGCCACTTAAAATATATACACATTTTTTAAGCCTGGTGATTTTTGGCCTTGCAGGTTAACCAGTCAGCTCCCAGGACGTGCCGTCTGTTGTGTCCTTGTCCCGTCTGCTGGGTTCAGAGGTGAGTTTACCGAGAAACTTAAACTGTTTCAAAGTTAAACTCTACATTTCTAGATTCCAAAAAAAGAGCAGCCAGGAGCGACCCTAGCTCTCCCGCTTTATGCATTTAAACTTTAATCCCTTCAAAGAGGGGACCGGTCTCTTCCAGGCCACTAATCCGCCCTATAGTGCTGCAGCGCAGGGGGAGACTTCTCCTCTGCGGAGGCTTTAACTTTGGACTTTTACATTCATGGGGGCGATTTGACGGAAACAGTAACGGGGATCTTTGGCATTCATGACGTCTGAGTCAACAGAGAGGGACACAAAGGTCCCCTAGAGGCTCCTGAGGGCCCCTGAGAGAGGAACCCCGACTATAGGGATTATAGGCCCATGGAGGACTGTTATTAGGGGATATTTTATGGACGCACTTAACATAGGCTGTCCGTTTCTAATGAGGGTTATGATTGTGTTATCATCAAAGGATCAATTGATTTTTTCCAGTGACCATTGTAGCTCGATGATATAAAACTCTTTCCTGATCTAAAAAAAACATGTTGTATTGGCAGGAGACACAAAAATAATAATTCAACGATAAAGACCATTTAGGCTATGAAGGAGAAAATATAGGTCTACAGAACTATACGCAGACATAATAATTGAGTAGGTTTTTATGCATTTGTAATAATAATCGGATTTAACTGTAATTTTTGGTTATTTTTCCCTTGATGGTGAATTAAGGCGTCCTGTTCAAATATACTATACCAGGGGTGAAGCCTTGGCCTACAAATGGCTTATATGCATGGACTCTTCTCTGTGCTGGGAACACTATATATTTTTTTTTTCAAAAATACAATAAAGATATCACTAGCCCTTATATTCATACCCGATACTTTGTCTATCTTATCTTGAACACGAAAGGGGCATGATCTGTAGGGAAATCCTAATCAAATTCCCAACATGTGTCCTCCCCATCTTTCATGTCACTGTAATTGTTTGTGATTGTCTCCACCGGCTGCAGATCTGTGGCGCTGCGCTGCATGCAGATCGGCCTTAACGACGCAAGCAGCAGGACAACGTGTGTGTGTCAGGGCGCAGAGACTGGTCCCCATGATGGATGACTGGATGGATGGTCTTGATGGAGAGATGGAGAGGTGTATGGATAGAGACAGGGGATAAGGGATGAGTGAAAGATGGAACACTGGTTTAAAGAAAAGCCACGCGGGAGGCCCCAGTCCGATATCTGTCTCGTGACACGCGGTGGTGGTCTGAACACCAAGTGAAGCTGTCAGTCAGAGAGAGGGCCTGCCAGCTCCATCCATCATGAAAGCTCAAAACAGAACATGTCCTGTGCGCCGAAAGCTGTTTTCCTGATTCAGACTGAGACAGCTATTGATCCTCAGGTCTGGTAGAAACCTCCTTTATGTCAAGATTTGCAAAACACACACCTTAGAATATTTTAGTAAGAGTAAAATAAAGTCAGGGCCACTGCTCCAATCACACGCAAGGCAAACTGATTTTACGATGCATGATGGGAGCATAACTGATCATTGCTGCAACTGTTGCTATAAAATGCAACTGGAGACAAAAACAGATATTAATGTTGTTCGTTTTGATAATATTGCAGAAACGCAAAAATAACCCTCATGCTGCTTGATTCACTCTGAGATTACATTTGAATTAATATGATAATAGTGTATAATAAGAAAAAACTAAAATAGCTGTGAACATTTTAACAAATAGCCACATTTATGCTTTTTAAAACCCCTACAATATACTACAGTGAGAGTTTAGATTATTATAATACATGTTTTATGTATATAAAGCTGTTAATTATTTTTTGATGATTTGACCTTGATAACGTAACTAATAATAATAGTATAGGTCAAAAATGATTGAATGTTAAACTCATTTTCCTACATGCATACATTTTCTCTCGTTCTTGCATTTTGCGGTGGTGCATATTTAATTATTAGGCCCATAGTGAATCACGGTGGACATCGTGTGGGAGTCTGTTTTCGTTGCACTGTAAACCGTTATAAATGAGTCCCTTAATGCTGATTTGATTGTAACCTGTGCGTATTTTACGCAAAAGCAAAACATGGTTGATTGAATTCACTCACTATCTCTTTTTACCACATAAACACACGGTATATAATAGGTATTTCCTTCATCTGTGTAACATTTTCCGTTTAGCATGAGTCCATAATGTAGCTACCTGAGATTTTATTTTAAATATCCTGGATGTCAATAATTGTGACAAATCCTATACTCTTGGCTAATAATTTGTATAATTAAATATTAGGAACCAAACTTCTCTCTCATTTGCTACATGTTCTTCCTCCCTCAGCTGCCTGTGTTAAACCCACCAGGTCAGTGTGAGCAGCTGGCTGTGTGCACCTGCAGTGTCACTAAAATGTGTCGTGTCATCGCCTCTCTTAAGCTCCCCTTCCCTCAGAGGTGCATTTGATCGCACATAAAATAAATACAAAATCACAGAACCTGCCGTTAACATGAGCCTGCGTCTTTACAGCAGCAGAGGCTGGCGGTGCATTTGATTTGCCCGGTGATGGATGAGAGACGGTGCAGGAGGGAGGGGGTGTTTGGCCAGGGGCCGGGGGGTCCCGTCGGTGCTCCTGTCCCCGCATTTCAATCCCCAATTACCGGAATGTG